CGTATGTGAGACAAAGTCTCACCATCCTTGCTTCTAAAGAGCATTCTGGGTGTACTTCTTCTAAGACAGATTTGTTCATTCTTCTGGCAATCAGTGGTATATTCAATATTCTTCGCCAACACCATAATTCAAAGGCATCAGTTCTTCTTCTGTCTTCCTTATTCATCGTCCAACTTTTACATGCATATGAGGTGACTGAAAATACCATAGCTTGGGTCAGGTGCACCTTAGTCTTCAAAGTGACATCTTTGCTTTTTAACACTTTAAAGAGGTCTTTTGCAGTGGATTTGCTCAATGCAATATGTCGTTTGATTTCTTGACTGCTGCTTCTGTGGGTGTTGATTGTGGATCCAAGTAAAATGAAATCCTTGACAACTTCAGTATTTTCACCATTTTTCATAATATAGGTATTTGGAATACTGGTGGCATAGCTTCCAGCATCACAGCAACACACAAGCCACCACAGTAAGACAAACTGACAGACAAGTGGTGAAAATTTCTAATAGCCATGTTAAAAAGTACAAAGAAACAAGTGAAATTAATTCTAAGGATACATTTTATTTAACCTAATAGATCTAAAATATCATTTCAATATAAAAATTATTAATGAGATACTCTTTTTTATTACATTCTTTTTTATTTTTGGTTTGTTTTCAAAATCCAGTGTGTATTTTATACTTATAAAAACCAAACCTGTTGCCATCAAGGCAATTCTGACTCATAGCGACCCTATAGGACAGAGTAGAACTGCCCCATAGGGTTTCCAAGGCCATAATCTTTACGGAAGCAGGCTGCTACATCTTTCTTCCGAGGAGTGGTTAGCGGGTTCAAACCTCCAACCTTTTGGTTAGCAGCCCATCACTTAACCACTGCATAGCACATCTCAACCTGCATAAGTACATTTCAAATACTCAATAGCCACATGTGGCTAGTGGCTACCATATTGGAAAGCACACATCTAGCATCTGGGAGAAGAGAATAAGGGTTAAAGCTCAGGATTTGGCATCAGACAGACCTGTCTTCACATCCTGGCCCTGCCATTTACTAGCTGGATGAACTTTGGGAATTCATTAACCCCTCTGAGCCTCAATTACTTCAGCTTTAAAAGGGGTTAATAACTGATCCAGGAGAATTGTAAGGATTAAATAAATGAATGAATGTCTAGTGCCAGACACAGAGTAAGTGGTCAGAAAATGGTGGTGATTAACCTTACAGTACTCTCAGATGTATTGGTTTATGTGTCATTCTCCCCCACTGGACTGATTATAAATTCAAGGGCAAGGACTGTGTCCAGTTCCTCTCCTTCCCTAGTGCTCAGGGCCTGGCTCAGTGTGAGCATCAGTGTTTGCTGAATGAAAAATTAAATCCTTGGGCTAGGAGTGCTCCCCACCCCAACCCAGCCCACCCAGGAGCCAAGGGACCCCTACTGGCTGGGAATCACGGGACCCCTGACTACCTGTGGGTGACCTTGGCAAGTTGCTGCTTTGCTCAAGGCCTTGGTTTCCTTATTTGAAAGACACAGGGGGTGGGAGAGGATCTCTGAGGGGCTTCTGCCAGCTGTGTTTGGTTTTGAGTCTCTGCCCCAGCAAGTGGCCTTGTGGGGCTGGGACTGACACTCTGCTTTGTCTTCCCAGCCAGAGGAGCAAATCACTTCTATCCTTTTCCAGGCTTTCCTGTATCCTGGCCCTTTTGCAGCATCAAATTCCCTCCAGTTAAAATTTAAGAGGAAAGAATTTCTGCTACTTTGTAGGCAGACCAGGGACGGCTGAGGCTGGCCAGAGAAAGTAGAGGGGTTGCTTAACAGGGTCCTCCTGTCCCTTCCCTTCTGCCAGCATTTGCTGTCCTCCCTTCATAACAATCCAGTGACAGAGTGGGACAGGGAGAGTTTCTCCCTTTTATGGGCAAGAAAACTGAGGTTCAGAGAGGTAAATTACCTGCCTAAGGTCACACAGGAAGAAGTCAGAGCTGGAATCAGAAACAGAATTCAGAGCTACAGGAACTGAAAAGCCCCTCTTTGTTCAGTGGTCTCCTCTTCTTTCACCTGGGCCCCTGGCATTTCTCCATGAGAGCTTTCATAAGACTTGACTCTGTGGTGGGTCCTGTCACTGTGCCTCAGTTTTCCTGTCTGGAGAATGAAGGAAGCCAAGTAACTGGGCTAGTGATCTCAGCTGATGCCTACAGGGGCCATGTGTTCTTCAGAGACTACCCCTTACTTAGCCCTACACACCCCATCCCCAAATATCTCTGGAAAGTGTTGTTGTGGGGTAAAAATGGAAGGGGTATGGTCCAGGGAGCCAGTATCATTGAGCATGTGTGACCTTGGACAAGCCATTCACCACTCTGGGCCTCAGCCTGCCCATTTATAAAATGGGGGATATTATATCGTAAGATGTTGTGAAGATCACATATGAAAGTGCTTTGCAAACTGTAAAGTTCTAATCGAAATTTTAGTCAAATAATAATAAGAGAAGCCCAGTTCTCTGTGTGATCCCATTGACCTGAAGTTGAGTTGGGCCCTTTGTGTATAAATCCAGAATGATGTCTGGGAATGTCCCGCCTTGGTTTTGGGAGTATAGCCTAGATTCTCCTGGGAAAGTGAGAGGCTCCATCCGGCTGGGGAGGGTGGGAAAGTGGCCTTGCCCCAGGGAGTAGTGGGGAGGGCTTTTGCCTGATGGAAGGAAGGAAGGGGAGGAAAGTTCAGGGAAGGAGAGTTGAACTAGGTGGAAGGAAGAGGGCCTTGACATGCAGCCCAGAGCCTCCTGCCCACAGGAACCATTGTTGGGAGGGCCAGCGAGTAGAAGGGATGGAGAATCCATTTAGAATCAAAATACTTTAAGGCAGGCAGTCAAGAATTTCTTAGCAGATGTGCATATGAAATAGTAAGTTCATTTCTTGTACCTCCTAAGTTTTACTGATCCTTTCACTTATTCTTCTGAATAAATATTTAGTGAACTGAATTCAAACAGAGCACCCAGAGTGGCAAAGTGACTTGCCCAAGGCCACACCCCTGAAGACCTTCATGGAACTCCCTGGGGAGTTCTGGGAAGACTGAAATTTGGGAAGCTGGGCAATCAGCATGCAGAGTCCTAAGGCAAAGGAGGAAATCTGTAAGAAGTCTACCAAACAGGATGCTGGCCCTTCTGTGAATTGGCCGTGGGCTGATCTGTCCATCACCCTACCCTTGAGATGTTTCCTCTCTGGAGGGAGGACATATTCTCAAGGACGTGAGGAGGGGGCTGGCTTCTCTGCTCTCTGCTCTCCCACCACTCCTGGAGCCTAGTGGGCAGCAGGGAGAGTGAAGGGACAGGAAGCTGTGTCTTGGGAGCATCTGGTGAAGGAGTTCATTGTATTTCTTGGAGAAGAAACGGCTTGGTTTGTGTGTGAAGGACAAGGAACATAGTTACTCTTGAGTTCTTAGAGGAATTCTGGGGAGGAGGCATAGCCTTGTTCTATGGAGGCCCTAGGGTTTACACTAGGTCCTCCGGTAAATTGTCATGCTGATGGGGGGTGGGGGCAGGAAGGAGGAGCAAATGCCTGTCCCTGGAATGTGGAAGTAGAGATGGATACAGTGGTGAGGTAGACAGTGAGAGAGTTGCAGCATGGGAAATGGATGGCTCCTTTCACATCTGGGCTGGTTTCTAGCTTTGGGTCTTTGGTTCCCAATGTACTGGATTTTGTAGTGCCTAGTAAAGTAGCTCGTGCATAGTAGGTACTCAGGAATTATTTGAAGAATGAAGGAAAAGATGTGTATGCTCAGGGGCTTAGGGGCTAGAGTGGATTTATAGTCATGCTGGCTGCAGATGTCGACTTATGGGCAGAAATCTTTGGAGATCATGTTGTGCATTGCCCACTATCTTTTCCCTGCTTTCCACACTAACTGGGTAGGGCCCCTAGAGATAGATCTGTCCAACCCTTTCTTTCATCTTTTGCAAACTGAGGCAAGAGCAAGAGAGCAGCTTGCCGAAAGGTAACTGCCGATAGCAGCCAGTGGCAAAGCTGGGCTAGAACCCACAGCCCTCTGCTTCCCAGAGTCCTCTGCTGGTTGGAGATCCTTGCCTGTGGACTGAGTGAGGTGTGGTGGTCAGGAGGGGCTTTTTGAGTTGTAGCAGTACTGCTGGAGGGGAGAAGCAGGGCTTAGCTTGGTTTGGAACTATGGCTTCAGTGCCACAGGCCCCTTGGCCATCCCCCACCCCTTCCTGGAGCCGGACACATACAACAAACACATCTGTACACAGGCCTAGTCCTTAATAGGTACCTACGTTCACTACTAGTAACACTTATGGTCATTCTTACCAATGCAGGTGTGGATGCTCACACACTACACACTCAGAGACACTCAGACACACACACACAGGATTCCCAGGAGACATTGCACATACCTCTTGCCTGATGGGGGTACAACACTGAGTGCCAGGAAGTTCTGCCCTGCTCTGTGCTGCAGGGGAGGTGAGGGTATCGGCTGGGGTGGGATGGGAGGCCCACCAAAGCTGAGTCACCCCTTCTGAGTCAGGGATCCTCCCCCCTTCCTCCCTCCCGCCCCCCTCTCCCCGCTGAGCCCCCAAGAGGGGGTTGGAGAGTAGCTAGGAGGGTCCCAGCTGGCCAGGGCCAGAGTAGGGGGCAGTGGAGGTACAAGAGTTGGCTCCTGATGCACAGTCCCGCAGTGGTCCTGGAACTGCCAGGGTGGCAGGGACCGGGATTGGGTGGCCTGGGAGCCTGAGAGAAGAGAGAGAGAGAAGGAGACGGGCAGCGAGAGGAGGCGGAGGCAGGGGCAGGGCCGAGGCAGGGGCAGGGCCGCCTCGAGGAAGAAGGCAGGCCCTTGGTGGCCGCCCTTGGGCTGTGCG